TTTCAGTTTTGGTGGTATTTTACTCATTAGGACCCTGAGTAAGCATAATCAGAGAGACTTTCCTCACCAGAAAACTTCCGACCTTTCTGTAGCTATATAATAACTTAGCAAGATAGCAATATATAGCTTGGATCTTCCTGTTTCCTAGCTGGCTAACCAACTATATTATCCTTATTGTGGTATAGCAACTATTTTGAGGATAATTGGCATGAATTTCCTGTCTCTCTCCTAAAATCCTGATACGTCCCTTAGGAATTAATCAATGATGGAGCAAAACTAGTCACGTGAATACACTCCCCTCGGAACTGTGAGAACTCAAAACAAAGTGTAGATGCCATAGCCCTATAGTGGATTAAACAGGAAAAAACTATTTGGTTTATTTGTGGTACACAAAGGACTGACAGGATTGTTTAAATCATGGGCTCAGTGGTGGGATTCAACTATGTGAACGACCGGTTCTCTGTGTGGATGCCACTTCCGGAAGTCCATTCTTGGCCCAGGCAACAAAAAATTAGCTACCGGTTCTGCCGAAGTGGTGCCAACCAGCTGAATCCCATCACTGCATGGGCTGATATGAGGCCTACATCACAGGATCATAAGGAAACATAAGGTAGTCTGATGCCAAAGTAAGTGGAAAGTGACTAAAAGTCAGTGTAGGTAATTGTAAACATTTGTAAATATAGTCACATCAACTTTCTGTATAATGTTCACAGCTGATCCTACAACTTGCCGCAATTTTCTCCACGTAAAAGCTGTACAGGATAGGTAGGAGGGAAAAGAAATCTGCAGACACTGTCCTTTACTCACCTTATGGACAAACTGCTCAACTCGAGTTTGAAGTCCCCACACTTCAAATTTCACAGATACAAGTTTGTAGGAGCACATAATGGGGTCTTGAGTTTCTCTCCAACCTTCTTTTAATAGGCCTCTCCCAGTCTTCTCTGATTTGAAGCATTTAGGATCCTATTGAGAACAAGAAGACTGAGTGAATAGCCTAATTAACATTGAAGTCTACCTTTGGAAAAAAAAGAACCACTTGTTGTTATAGGTAGTCCTCGATGTATGACCACAATTGAGCCCAACATTTCTGACACTGAGTGAGACATCTCTTACATGAATATTACCCCATTTTACGATCTTTCTTGCTACATTTGTTAAGTGAATCACTGCAGTTGTTTAGTTAGTAACATGGTTGTTAAGTGAATCTGGTTTCTCCATTGACTTTGCTCGTCAGAAGGTCACAAAAAGTAATCACATGACCCAGGACACACTGCAACTGTCACAAATATGAGTCAAATGCCAAGCGTCTGAATTTTAATCACATGACCATGGGGATGCTGCAATGGTCATAAGTGTGAGAAACAGTCATAAGTCATTTTTTTCAGTGCTGTTGTAACTTTGAATGGTCACTAAATGAACTGTTGTAAGTCAAGGACTACCTGTACTAGTAAGAATGAAACTTCACAAACTTATTTCTATCTATGTCAGGAACAATGTTCACTTTGTGTTCTTTTTTCCTGTATTTATTATCATTACAGCTGGAAGCTAGTTGTTTGGAGAAGCAGACTGGAGATTTTAGCAAAACAACTATATTAATCCCAATCCTTATTCTTAAGTCATTATTGAAGCATTTTTCCTAGCCCCATTTAACATTCTCTCTAAATTGCATTTGTGAGTTTGGCAGGCATATAAATAATAAAATAAAAATAAAAAAATAAAATAAAATAAAAAATAAGATAAGATAAGATAAGATAAGATAAGATAAGATAAGATAAGATAAGATAAGATAAGATAAGATAAGATAAAATAATAAAATAAAATAAAATAAAATAAAATAATAAACTAATTTACATGAAAGCTGGGACATGACCAATGAAGTAAAGACAAGGATAGAGAAAGCTTGAACAGCATTCTTCAAAATGAAAAAGGTCTTCTGCAGTCACGACAGCAGAAGACTGAAACTCAGGCTTGTCAGATGCTATATTTTTTCTATCGTGCTCTATGGAGTAGAGAGTTGGTCTCTGACAGAAGGCCACCTGAACAGACTAAAAGCATTTGAAATGTGGATTTACAGGCGGCTGTTACGTATAAGCTGGGTTGACAAGATCAGAAATGAGGAGATAATAAGCCGCCTGGGAAAGCCAAGGGAAATCATCAAAACAATTAAAAAACAAAAGTTAGAATATTTCAGACATGTGATGCGACACCCAGAAAAATACGGCATACTCCATTTAATCCTCCAGGGAAAGATTGAAGGCAAATGAGGTCCAGGCAGAAGAAGAACATCATGGCTTCAAAATCTAAGGGACTGGTTTGGACAAAACTCAGCAGCACTTTTTCATGCGGCTGCTGATAAAAACAGGATCGCCAACATGATCGCCAACGTCCGATAACGGATATGGCACAAGAAGAAGAAGAAAATAATAATATAAAATATAAAATTAAATAAAATAAAGAAGGTGTAAGCAAATAAAGAACTGAACTGGGGGAGAAGGTATTGATTGTCAGTTGAGAAGATTCTACAAGCCTACAGCAATAAATCTTCACGTGTGGATGTGCCTGATATGATGTAGGAGATGACCAGGCTGACCCTGAGGGTGGAAGTCAAACACATGAATCAGCTTGGAGTCACTATGTCCTTGTAAGAGACCTATGTCCAATTCCCCCCCCTTGAAGTCTGTTGACTCCTATCTGGCACCAATTTGCCTTGACCATTAATAGTTCAGATTCTTGTTTATAGGTAGCATGAACTAAACTTTTGTAGTTCTTTTGAACTCTATCCTGGTTCCTAACTTCTTGCACCTGAAGCATGAACCCAACTGGATCTCCCTATATCTTGAGCTAGAGCCTGACATTTGTTTAACAACCACATGATTTACTTACCAGTAACGGCAGCTGTGACATGCTTTACCACCATTGTAAAAATGGTTGTAAAATCAAGTCCGGTCAAATGATGCCTTGACTTACGATCACAATGTTTTAGGATCATAGCTCCACTATGGTCATAAGTCAAGGACTACCTGTATCTTCTTGGGTACCAAATAAAAATAGGTTTGCAATGATCACAACATAGTATAGTCACGTTAAGCTGTACAAGGATCAGGGCAGAGGTAGGATATTGACTGGGTGATGATATTCCTGTTCAAAATTGTAAATGTAGGCTAAAATTGAACACATTCTAACAGGTTTCCATTAAATATTATTGTTGTTGTAAATGTATGCATTCAATTGGAACAGAGTAAGATTTATTAATAGGTGTGATCTTTTTGAAAAGTTTAACCTGCTTGAATACTCTTTGGGTTAATGGATAACGTATTTGCACATTTTAATTTTGATATTTCAGATAGATTTGCAACTAGTTCAGGTAGTTTTGATACCAGATACAGTAATTCTCGGCTTTCCACTCTCCAGATGCTCATCTCATTCATAATCTGATTCCTGACAATCTAAAAGAGCTTCTTCTATGTATTTGAAAGTAGGTTTTCCAAAATATATTTGGCACACTTCTCTCCTCCACTCCCACACCAAAAATAATTACATTTGGCAGCTTCTTTTTTCCCCCTCCCTTTGATTCCAAAACAAATAAAGCGCAGATAAAGCAGTACATCTGCCTTGGGAGCGCTCAAGACTTGAAAGTGCTATTTTAAAACATCCTGTGCTTGGCAACACAATGTACTGAAAACACAGAGCAATTTGTGCTATTTGAAAGGAAAATTATTCCATCAAAATGAGTTTGCCACATAAATTATGTTTGACTGAAGCCCAGAAGAGAGCATTGGAGAATTCTAACATGAGTGATTGAAAAAGGTCTTTAACATAAGACTTGCAGAACAATTATAAAGTGAATCTTAAGTTAAACCTAAGTGGGTAGTTTTGTTTTTCACAGATACTTTATGACAATTGGGAAAGAACACAGTGAAAAACATGTCTATGAGAAAACTTTAACAAGACTAAAAAGTTTTATTGCTCTTGGAGCCTTAGGTATAAATGGTACCACTGATATTATAAGAAAAACTCTATATGCTTAAGGGAATGTATGTGTTTGTGTGTACATGTGTGTCACACGCATACATACACATACATATATAATTCTAAGACACCTGACAAATTGCTTTAGAAACTCTTGCAAATCTCTGATAATCTACTAATTTAGACAAAAACAATAATGAAATATAGATAGTCCTTGACTTACAACCGTTTGTTTAATGACTGTTTGAAGTTACAATAGCATTGAAAAAGGGACTTATGAGCATTTTTCACACTTACGACTACTGCAACATCCCCATGGTCACGTGATTAAAATTCAGACGCTTGGCAACCAATTCGTATTTATGATGGTTGCAATGTCCCAGGGTCATGTGATCCCCTTTTGCAACTTTCTGACAAGCAAAGTCAATGGAGAAGCCAGATTCACTTAACCACTGTGTTGCTAAGTAAACAATTGTAGTGATTTACTTAACAACTGTGGCAAGAAAGGTCGCAAAATGGGGCAAAACTCACTTAACAGCTGTCTCGCTTAGCAACAAAAATGTTGGGTTCAATTGTGGTCCTAAGTCAAGGATTACCTGTACTACATCTACAAAGTAGAAATTTATTGAAGGATTTCTTCCCTTTATTCGTGAACTAGCATCTGTCTGTATGAATCTGCTAAGAGTATTCAGCTAGAATCTAGCCTGGAGGAGACACACACTTCTGATATTTCATACTGTACACATTTCTTATTTATAGTTTAGTAGTCTACGAAGGGTGCATAAATCAAGATTCTAAACTGGGAGATCTGGGTTGACTTCATCAAGCTACTGTTGTAATATTTTTATGATATCCTTTTTGTTATTGGATTTGGCTGGGGTTTTTTTTTTTTTTGCTATTGTTAGATTTCTGCTGCTAAGTAAGGTATTGATTGAGTTTTGCCCCATTTTACCTTTCTTGCCGCAGTTGTTAAGTGAATCACTGCAGTTAAGTTAGTAACACAGTGAATCTAGCTTCCCCATTGACTTTGCTTAACAGAAGGCTACAAAAAGGTGATCACATGATCCCGGGATACTGTAGCGGTCATAAATACGAGCCAGTTGCCAAGTGTGCAAATTTAGACCTCACGACCACAGGGATGCTGCAATGGTCGTAAGTGTGAAAAACTGTCACAAATCACTTCAAACGGTCACTAAATGAATGGTTGTAAGTTGAGGATGACCTCTATTGTTTTATTTGATCTTCTTACTGTAAGGAAGGAAGGAAATGTAACCCCCTTAGAATCTCTCTGGATTGGAATGAGATATGAACTCCTATTAAAATACCGATACCTTTGACCCATACCATACCAGAAAAATCAGACCTTAAATCCTTTTTTAAACCTTTTTTTTTTTTTTTTGCAAAAGGGGAAGAGATTTGTGTTTTGATGCAAAACTGAGGGAATAGTCAAGAAGAGTAAGCTATGATTGGTGGTTGTTTCTGCAAGCCCTGTACTGTAAATGTGCAAGGAAGTGAATACACTTATTAAATTTCTTGGTGGTTATAAATATAGAGAGCCAGTTTCATGCAGTGGTGAAGGCACCAGGCTAGAAACAGGGAATTACTGAGTTTTTTCCGCCTTAGCTATGAAAGCCAGGTGGTGTGACTTCACACTCTCTCAGCCCAATTCACCTCCCGGAATGGTTGTTGTGGGGAAAATAGGAGGAAGGAGTGTTAGGTATGTTTGCCATCTTCAGTTTATTTATAATAATAATGAAGGTGGGATATAAATAGATAAATAAATAAACCCACTTCTGAAAACCCTTGATAAGAAAACTGCAGGGACCTATCCAGGCAATGACCAAGGACTCAGCTTGAGTTGAAAGTACACAGATATTTAGAGAGCCAGTTTGGTGTAATGGTTAAGGGAGGGGTCCCCAACCCCCGGTCCGTGGACCAGTACCAGGCCGCGGCATGCCAGCAACCGGTCCGCACAAACAAGCAAAGCCCCATCC